CGCTTGTCAGAAAAGAGGCTTTGGGGCGGTGAGGAGCCATATGCCATGTCCTGGGGGCAGCTCCCAGCAGGAAAAGCCACCACCCCAATGGACCCCCCATCCAGGGCGCTTACCGGACCCGCTCCTCCTCGATGCTCTGCACCGCCCGGTCCCGGTGCAGCACCCGGAGGACCGCCTCCTGCTCCAGCTCCTGCAGGGAGTCCAGACTGACTTCTTGGGCCATTTTGCTGTCCCTTCTGGGACGGGGTGACGTTTCACTCCATGGCCCCGCGCCCGTCGCGCAGCGCGGAGGGGTCCAGCAGCCCGGGTTCCTGAAAGCGCCCCCGCTCCGTTCCCCGGCGCCCGCTGCGTGTGGCTCTGCCTCTCCTCTCTCGTGTGGCTCTGCCTCCTCTCTCGTGTGGCTCTGCCTCTCCTCTCTCGCTGCCGCGCTCACTCCCGGGACAGAGCGCTCGGAGCCTGGCCGGCCACTCTGCTCTCACCGGCCGCAGCCTCTGGCGTCCGTCCGAGACAAGAGCGTGTCTTCCTCTGAGGTCTTGCCAGCGGGCGACGCGAGGCACGGGCCCAGCACCCAGATAACTCCTGCGGAGCAGGCCTATCTCCAATCTGAGGGTTTAAATAGCAGCAGGGAGACGTCAGTGACTCAGAGGCGAACTGTCCCCTTCAAACATCTGCCAGTCGCCAGGAAGGACCGCGGGAAGCCGGCCGGCTCAGCGCCTGGGGAGAGAATAAAAGCAGGTCGGCGCCCGGCCCGCACCCCTGCAGCCTCCCACCACACACGGGGAGCCCTTTGCGTGGTCTGCCCTGGTGATGTCGGAAGGTTTTAAATTTTACTAAGTTGGTCTCGTGTTTCCAAAGGCCTCCAGTTCCCAAACTTGACTCTTTCTAGTCTGACTTCCGCCTCTTCCCCGATGAGAGGTGCGAAAGGTCTGTGTTTAATACCAACCTCCCCATTGAAAACACTTTAGAAGGGCAATGTCCTCGATGCCAGCTGTTATTTTTACAATTAGCTTCAGAACTCAAAAAAGAGTAACCAATTACGGAGGCCTGAAGAGACGTCACCACAGCCTCAACCCCTCCATCATGCGTGGGCCTCAGTGGTTTCACCAGCTGCCCACGATGGGGTCCTGTTTCTGCTACTGCCAGTCGAAAGGCTCTGCCTACATCCTTCCTATGTCTGTTCCTAATCAGTGGCCTTGGGCAGCCATCCCTTTCAGCCTGTCCCTCCCCCCAACCAAGGAGGCTGTGCATGGATGAGACACTGGATAGATGCTAGTGATGAAATGCAGAGTGTAGCCCACGGAGTCAGTGTACTTTCTACAATGCCATTTTGTTGTCAGAGCTACATGAATTCCTTAGTGATAACACTTCCTTCGAATGCTTGAGAAGCTAAGCTCCCCATCAGCCGTCTACAGAAACCCACCCCCTAGTCCTTACGATCCATATGAATCGGTGGGTGAGCCGTGAATACGCCCGAGATCAGTCTCTTTAAGCAGTGATTCCTAACCTTTGTTCCTTTAAATCTTTATATTGAAAGATGGGTAACCGTCCATATTTAAATTCATAAAATAAAATACTTTGAGTGGCAAAGAAATTCGGCACCAATGAAGTGACCCCTACACCCGGGCACCACTCGGAAGCAAAGAGTCGCCAGCCGCGGGGAGATGCATTTACACCAAACCCGCCATCTCCGGGGAGATCTGACCGTCAATCTGGCTCCAACACGAATCCAGGATCACCGGGGTCCAGCCCTTCCCTCCAACAGCTGGAACAAAGCAAGGGGAACGCAGGAGGATTCCCCGCGGCCTGTCTTCCCTTTCCCTCCAGCGAGGCCCACGCCGGGAGCCACGCCTTTGTCTGGGATTGACCGGAATGCAGGCCGCAGGGGTGGGGGTGGGGTGCCCCCTAAGCCAGCATGTCCTTCAATCCCTGCATTTCCGTTTTGTCCCTGTGCAGTCCTGCCGGGCCCAGTGGAACAGGGGCATCCGAACAAGCACAGGGTTTGGTCCATCAGCCCAACAGCCCGACTTTATCAGCCTGCTCTCTGCCAAGCACGTGGCGGTGAGGATCCACAATAAACAGGACCCAGTGTCCGCATTCAGGAAGTTCACATTCCACGACCTGTGCACCAGGAGGTCACGGTTCCATTCCCCGTCAGGGCACAGGCCCGGGTTGTGGACTCGATCCCCAAATGTGGGGCGTGCAGGAGGCAGCCGATCGATGACGCCCTCTCATTGCTGATGTTTCTCTCTCCCTCTCCCTTCCTCTCTGAAATCAATAAAAATATATATTTAAAAAAAGTTCACATTGCAGCCAGAAAACAAGCGACAACATGTAGGGTGAGTATAAAAGCCACGAGCCTCCACAAAGAAGAGGTGCTCACAGGGAGGCAGGAGCTCCCCACCGGACAGTGGAGGTGCGGGGGGGGGTCAGGGGGGCTTCCGGGGGAGGACGTGCAGGGCCACTTTGCCAGTCGCGTGGTTGCTTGCTGAGGGAGAACCAGAAATGAGAGACTGGGGGGAGAAAGGATGGGAAAGCCAACGATCTACCTGCAGGCTGCAGCGCCCCCTCTCCCCCTCCCCATTTCTCCCACCTACCTGCCAGCTTTGAGCAGCTGGCCCTGAAATCAAAGGACAGAAAGACTCCTCCCTGCCGTGAGGGAGGGACTCGACCTGCAGGGTGGAAACATGGCGCATGGCGGAGGGGCCGGGCCGGGTGTGGCGTGTGAACCTGTGAACAGGAGCGTCATCATCGCTGCCCGCTTGCAGGGGAAATGACAGCACGTTCTCAGAGCCCCAAGCCACAGCCTCAGCGCAGGCCACTCGGGGGCTTGGCCACAGCCATTTCCTGGAGCAGCTGCACCGCTGAGAAGGCAGCCTGGTGCAGGGGGAGGCTGGGGGCCAAGGTGACCTGGAAGGGCCACGGAAAACACCACCCGTGTCTTTTTGGCGTGTGTTTATCCTTTCCGGAGGCCGTGACCGCCCGAAGGCGGCGTCACCCAAGGAAGGAGGTGAATGGAGAGCAGCTTTCTGTCTGCGGCTCCCACCCACCTGGGCCCAGACTTGCACACGGGACAGATTCGTTTTTGCAAAGGCGAAACGACAAGCGTGTGCGCCCATCACAAAGTCTGACCCGAAACGGACACGTGCGCTGATGAATTCCTTTGCTCTGCTGTTACTTCATCAGAGGTGGGTATTCCGCAAGCCAGTGAGTGCCAGCCCTGGCATCCCTCACCCGCACGCCCTGTCCAAGGCCTGGCACCTAGTTCTGTATTCCTTTTCTTGAAGAATTCTCCACAAGCTGTGTAACTGCAGGTCCCTCAAAACTCCATCCGTTATACGTGAGGCTGGGTATATATGGGCTTAAATCTAGAAAACTCCACACCCACCCAAGCTGAGAAGGGAATTTCCTCTGAAAGCCCACACAGTGCACTGCTGATCCTGCTTTCTCTTCCCAGGCAGGAGGGTATCTTGCCCCTCCCGCACCCCCTTCCCCCCCCCCAAAATATTATAGAATCCGAGTAAAACACTGACACAGGAGTCCATGATTTTCATGGCTTATACTTGACACCTTCTTATGGAAGGGTGAAGAAATGAGAATTAATGTTATTATATTGTTATAGGTACTACTTACAATTGTCATTACTACTTACATCTGTACCAACAGCTATGATTTATTTATTTAGCACTGACTCTGGGCCAGACAGTGTGCCAAGTATCCTGCATATCTCAATCCTCATTTCAACACACAACAAACATGATAGAGTAAGTACACCCATTTTACAGATGAGAAGAGTGAGGCTGGAGTGATTAAGTAATTTACCTGATATCACATTCTAATCTGGATCCATTTAGCTCCAAAGCCTTCTGCTTTGTTTGAGCAGAGACGTTAGAATTTCCCACTACCTTGGCCAGGTAACCTTTTCTACACCAATTCTAGCTCAATGGAGCCTTAATATCTGCTGTGCATTTTCCTCTCAGAATCTCTCCTCTTGCCAAGAAATTGGTTTGGGCATTAAGGAAGTTTAATTGAAAGAAATTTAAATTAGACTCCAGCTAATTTAATTTTTTTATTTTAAAATTGTATTTCTGTTCCTCCTCCAAACTGAAGATTATGGCTGATCCAAGCAAATGGAATTTATGCAGCAGACTCAGAGCAAAACAGTAATACACTATACATATGGTAACGCACAAGCCAAAGAAGAAATTGGACACTGTACCACCGCCTAAAAAAATTCACACCATCTAGCTTTGGGATAGTGTTTTTGTTTTAAGTAACTCTAACATACTTCCTCCATATCATTTAAATCATGATCACCCTGAATTTTAAATGTCTGCTATTCAATAAAGTGACAAGTCACCTTTGTTTAATTTACCATTGCTTTTGTTTCTCACCTTTTAATGCCATCAAGCTAAGAAAAGTCACTGAGCTGTAACCTCTACTCACCCGGCCCCCAGATGGCCCCACGCCGTAAGGGGATGCTCAGCTACCTTTGAATCGACTGCGAGAGAGGAGATCAGAGGAGTCTGCTCCGAAGAGGAGGAAGTCAACTTTTCTTCGTGTTAGAATGGCTGACGTATTTCTCCTTCCTTCCTGCTGGGCACGGGGTGAAGTGTGCCTTCCCCGCTGGCCCTGAGTGCGCTGTGGCTACCCCACATCCCCAGGGCCCCGAGCACAAAGCCACCGAGCCACACCCAGGAACTCTCCTACGCCAGCAGTTTCCATTTTTATCTGGAGGGAAGACTGAGCGGGTGCTACTGAAATGTCTCACCCCTCTCAAGAACGCCCCCCCCGCCCCCCGCCAAGAGCAGAGGCTCCAAATGCTCAAATGTCCCCTCACCTGCAAGGGTTTCACGTTAACTTCAAGTGTCAATGACTACGTCCCAAACATCAGCTGCCGACTCAAACGCCAATTTAGAACAAGACTGGCATGGACTCCTTTTTTTTTTTTTTTTTTTTTTTTCCGGTAAATTGCATTGATGTTTAGCATACATACAGGAACATGGTACAAATCATAAGCACAGCTTGATAAAGTTTCCCAAAGTGAATGTGTCTATCAAGAAATTGAACTTGCTCGGCCAGTGTGGCTCAGTGGTTGAGCATTGGCCTATGAACCAGGAGGTCATGGTTTGATTCCCGGTCAGGGCACATGCCCAGGTTGTAGGCTCAATCCCCAGTTGGGGCGTGCAGGAGGCAGCTAATTGATGATTCTCCTTCATCATTGATGTTTCTCTCTCTCTCTTCCTCTCTGAAATCAATAAAAAAAAACTCTATTAAAAAAAAGAAATCGAACTTTAACAGCACCCTGGAAGTTCACATTACAGTATTATATTTTACTAGAGGCCCGGTGCATAAAAATTTGTGCACTCAAGGGGGGTGTCCCTCAGCCCGGCCTGTACCCTCTTGCAGTCTGGGACCCCTCGGGGGAATGACCACCTGCTGGCTTAGGCCCGCTCCCTGGGGGAACAGGCCCAAGCTGGTAGTCAGACATCCCTCTGGCAGCCCGGGAGCCCTCAGGGGATGCCCACTTGCCAGCGGGGAGCAGGCCTAAGCTGCAGTCGGACATCCTTAGCGCTGCTGAGGAGGTGGGAGAGGCTCCCACCACCACCGCTGTACTGGCAGCCATCAGCCTGACTTGTGGCTGAGCAGCGCCCCCTCTGTGGGACGCACTGATCACTAGACGCTCCTGCATTGAGCGTCTGCCCCCTGGTGGTCAGTGTGTGTCATAGTGACCAGTCATTCCCAGTCATTCTGCTGTTAGGGTCAGTTTGCATATTACCCTTTTATTATATAGGATTGTATGAACATCTAAAAAAATTGATCTATTGTACTATTGATGGATGCTGTGTTATTTATAATTTTTGGCTATTATGAATAGTGTGACTGCAGACATTGTTATATAGTCTCTTGGGTGAGTATTTGTACGTGTTTCTGTTGGTTACGTGTGTAAGGGTGGAATTGCTGTGTCATAGGTTATGTTTAATGTCAGCAGATGCCACCCACAGCTTTCCTAAATGGCTGTACTCACACTCCTACCAGCAACAATTTCCAGTTGCTTCACATGCTCATCCACACTTAATGTCATCTGTCCTTCTTATTTTATCCTTCCTGGTCAACTGGGGGTGATATCATATTAAGGTTTTAATTTTCATTTCCCTGATGTTTTGTGTAGCTGAATTATCTGAGCATCATTTTATATGTTTATTGGTCATTTGGAGATCTACTTTGATGTTGGACTTGTTCAAGTCTTCTACCTGTTTTCCTATTGGGTTGCCTGTTTTTCTGTTATTGATTTGTAGATGTTCTTTATATATTGAGGACATGAGTGCTTTGTTAGATATTTATATTGCAGATATTTTCTCCCTCTCTGTGGACTGTTTTTTTCATTCCCTTAATAGGCTCTTTTGAGGGTCTTGAACTCACTCTTGAGGGTGATACAGTGTGAACTCTAATTGAGAGAATATGATTCCGGCAAGCCAGCTGATGATCAAGAATAGGGCGTGTTGTGTGGAGTCACTAGATCTCTCTGAACACTCCTGGAACTTGGTTTCCTCCTCTGTAAATGAGGTTCGCTTTGCTCATCACTTTGGCTCTTTGGTTCTGAAATCTCACTCTTCCCTGGCCTGGGGGTGACAACTTGAGATGGTGAATTCCATCAGCTGAGGAGCAGTGGTGGGCAGGAGGTGATGGTGAGCTGTGAGGGGTTAGAATGACTAAAGGGAAGAGTGAATTAAGAGGGGAAACTTTGTAGTGACAGGTCTGAGTGACGCTCAGGAAACTGCTTGGCCTCTCTGAGCCTGTCTCCTGGTGATGACCACAAGACTTCCCGCGTAGTATATAGTTCATTCAATTCATTCATAAATATTTATTGTGCATCTACTATGTCAGGTGCTACCATAGTGATCATGGTTGAGGATCCCTGACTTAAAGATTCCTAATAAATAGTAACTGCTGTCTGGCCCGTGTCACTCAGTGGTAGAACCAGGAGGTCACAGTTTGATTCCTAGTCAGGGCACATGCCTGAGTTGTGGGCTCAGTCCCTGGTAGAGGGAATGCAGGAG